CCGCCCCTTAAAGGCCTGGACAACCCGGGGACATGCTGCTCGACCCTAGCAGCTGGTCGCTCCCCGACCACAATGGGTCGCTCCACCACCTCAACGGATCGCTCCGCCTCCACAAGCGGCCTTTCTGTTACGGAAGTAGGCTTCTCCACCATCGCCGCGTCCCGCGCAGCCAACGTCCGGCCTACCGCCTCCGCGACGATGCGATCCAACTCTGCTCTAGTCATCTGCATCAACGGCCCTCCGCCCTCCGGCACCACTTCTGGCCCCGACGCGCGTATCACGATCTCCTGGCCTGCTCCTTGGGTTGCCGATCCCTGCTCCTGATTCAATGGGGGAACAGGGGTACCCCTTGTATCGTAACATGGGGCGTAGTCATCGAGCTTTCTCCCGTCACCCATCCTTTCGGCGGCCCTCCACCATAGGGAGTCTTTGCTACCCATGCCTCCTCCAAACTGTCGTTTAGATTTCTTCTTGATTGTTCGTCCACAATCGTGTCCGTCATCTTCGCCTCCTCAATCGATAGAAAAATTGGTGTCCCACAGACGGCGCCAATTGATGTGCTTTTGCACACTGGGCCGGCTCTCTTTGGACCCAACCGCTTGAGCTCTCCAAATACCTGCAAAGACGCCGGGAAGTGTTCCCGGCGGTAAACCTCCGACGCTCAAGTTAGTGGGGTACCGAAGAGAGTTCAATTTTTGTATTAGGGTTTCTTATGCGGTAAAAAACATCATACCTCTCCCTTGTAACCTGCCCTACCTATTTATATGCAGATACTTGGCTTACTCTCCACGTCTGTCCCCTTATCCGATTATGTAACAATTATCAGGCCCATTTAAACATCAGCCCACCTATTCAATCTGCCTGACCCACTCTTTTGGCCGATATTTGGGCCGCACACTGGCAGATTATTATATCTGACCAATCTACCGGCCCGCATGAATACCACCGTTTCATAAATCACATTGACTTCTGCCGGTCTACCCATAATGCTCTTTTTGTGCTACATCACTACTCGATATTTGATGCATCGGTGCAGTGCTATTGTACATCGAGAACAGGATTGCCATAACGGGATTTCTACTTGGGCCACGTCTCACGTTATGGGCCGGCATGTGGATTGGGCTTGTGTTCTCTTAGTGTGGGAAAAAAGGGCCAACAAATTCGCAATCGGCCCATCTTTCTCTCTCTCTACAAAACGAAGCGTTTCGATTTAATATCTCCCACTTTTCGCGACTCTAGGGTTTATAGAGATAGGGGGAATCTGATTCAGGGAAGGAGCCCATTGAAAGAACAAAAGCAATCGAATCTGCTTCTTTCTTGAATCCATTTTCTCCTTTTTCAGTTGCTACGCAGAGAAGCAGGCCGGGCTCCCGTCGGTGAAAATGGGAAGGGGGAAGTTCAAGGGCAAGCCCACCGGCCGCCGCAATTTCTCTACCCCAGAAGAGATGCGTAAGTGCAGAATTCCGGTGATTGAGTCTTTGTTTTAGGATCTAATCGTCGGTCTCGTTTTATATTCTCTGGATTTTGTATTACTTTGATTTGTTTTCCCTTTGTGCGCGTGCGCGTGTGTGTGTTCGTTCTGAGGTTCTTCGCTTATATTAAAATTTCTTATTATTGTTTATTGCCTCTGGGTTTAATAGTAATCAGAGGCCTCCGATTTGTGTATTGAAGCTTATTTTCTTGTTTGTTCCGAATACGTATGAAATTTGGGATTGGCAAATTTGCTGCCATTAGTACATCAGTTTGCAGTAGTGTTCGAGTTGATGAAAGTCTTTTCTTCGCCTCCCTTTGTGGTGGGTTTTGAATTGATAATTTTTGGGAATTTGATTCGATTTGAGTTTGATCAGTTATGATTTGTGGGTATTTGTCATGAAATTGGACTTTGGATATCCTGCTTTCTGACAAACAGATTTTTTTGGGTTGAGTAAATATTGCAGAAAGTAAATGAACAAGTACAAGGTATCTATGGAGGAAATGTGAAAAAATTGAGGAATAAGAGTTAGCTTTCGTTACAGTATGAATAAATGAGTTTAAAACAGATAGATTTACTGCAAAACTGTCAAATTAAGGCCTTAATTTGCTAGCCTGTATAAACAGAAGGGAAAATGAACCCAAAAAAAAAAGGAAGAAAATGAAGAATCGGCAGCAATAAAATCAATGGGAAATGTCACTCAGAAGTTGGCCTTCTAATAGCAAACATCCCGCTTCTCAACTGATTAAATGGTTGAATTTATATCCTGCAGTTGTTTCAGTTCTTCTACTTCGTCAATATCACATCAGATCACCTGAAAAAGTAGTCATGGATTTGATAGGCGTTACATGGATGCTATTGTCAGTGGTAATTGATATATTTTTCGGGGAATAAGTACCCTGCATGGTTTTTCCTGTGGTATATACATAAATGTTGTGCATATTTTTGAAACATGGATGTAATTGCAGATAAGTGTGTAATATATGCACGATGCAGCAAGTGCATCTTTGTAATTACCATACTCCCTGCGATTCTATCTTAAGTTTGTTTTGTTGTGTGGTCCATCTGGAATGCTTGTATTTCTTTGTATATCTAACCAACAAAATTTCATTTATAATTTAATCTTTTTTTTTTTTTTGGGTGAATTCAGTGGCTGGTACCTCTTCTCGTCCTCGCACCTTCAAAAAGGTACCCATCTTATTGTAGCACAACATTGTTATGTTTATCCTATAAACTTTCAGTATGACTTACAGTTTTTGAGAGGCATTTTAGCTAATAATATTTTGAAATTCAGGGTGAAAAAAATATTAAGAATGCTTAACTGAAAGTAAAAAGGATAACTGTTATAGTTTTATAGATTATTTGGCATTATGAAACATGGCCTTTTGTGAGTTTTTGAGGATTCTGTAGGGGTTGCTTTATTAGGTCCTTTCGAAAATATAATTTGTTCAGTGATAATGGCTGATGCATTACAAGTTGGTTCCTGGATTATTTATTATCATTATTATTATTATTATTATTATTATTATTTTGGCCATTGTAATCACTGCATTTGATTTTTTTTTCCTTTTCTTATTGATATTTGCTATCAGGAAGAAGCTGAGGTGGCAGAGGATGAGGTTTCTGATGTAGAGTCTGATGAGGAAGTTCAGGATGAATCTGAAGTGAGTACCACTTGTGTGTGTGATTCTCTTTTTCTTTTTGTATATTTTTTTGGTTATTTTTTTTAAGTCATTTTTGTTGTTAACCTGGACAACTAACGTTTTCATCCTCTTTGGCGCTTTTCTATAGAAAGTGAAAGGTACCCAAGGTGTCATTGAAATTGAAAATCCCAATCTGGCGAAGGCAAAGAACTTGAAAGCACGTGATGTTGATGTAAGTTTCTCATGTATGCTCACCGGCTGTTTGAACATTTTCTGGGTGCTTAACTGTGTGTTTGCTTATTTTTGCAGCTTGAGAAAACAACTGAGCTTTCACGACGTGAAAGGTATGTGAATGCTCATCTTTCTTCCTTCCTTCTCTGTTCCTTTTCTTTTTTCTTTTTATTATTGATAGTTTATGTCGTCGCAGCATAGATTCGTTAGAAAATACTAGAATACATATCCTTAACTGTTTTGACTTTTTAATTTGAAATCCTCGGATGATCTTGGCATGTGTAACTTATTCTTCCTCCTCCAGTGCCTTATTTTGACAATTTGCTTGGGATAAATTGAACTCATTAAATTGCTGATACGTAATTTCATTTTTTTTTTCTTCAGCTGTATTCCTTTATGCACTGTGTGAATTAATTTTCTTTTCGTTCTGTTGTATTTAGAGAGGAGATTGAAAAGCAGAGAGCCCATGAGAGGTATATGAAGCTGCAAGAGCAAGGCAAGACCGAACAAGCAAGGAAGGATTTAGGTAAAACATATATGAATCTGCTTCAGCAATTCATTCATATCCTTTATGTTGTTGCAAACATAGAGTTTTATACTACAACATATTGTTTTTGTTTGTTTGTTTTTTTCCAATTTACAGAACGTTTGGCCCTTATACGACAACAAAGAGCCGAAGCTGCTAAGAAACGAGAGGAAGAGAAAGCTGGTAATTTCTCGATGTTTTCCCTTTTGATTTCTAATCCTCCCCAAGTTTTTAGATTTTTTCTTTTCTTTTTTGCCCTTCTGATTTCACCGTGTGTTTTCCTCCCTTGCAGCCAAAGAGCAAAAGAAGGTTGAAGCTCGCAAATGATTTCGTGTTTGGAATAATATGAACCTAAAACAGTGTCCTTGGTACATTGAACGATTCAACTTGAGTTTGCTGGAACAATATTTATACAAGTTTGTCCTGCTATTAAAATTAAAAATGATTTTTACCTAGCTCTCCTTATTCCTCATTATCTTTTCCCTCCATGTTTTTGTATTTGGAAGAAGACAATTACTTACCTCTGTGCTTTATCATAAGTCAGCAGTATTTTCTCTTATATTCAGAAATGCTATATTATTGTTTCTAAATTTTCACTTGAAAAATCTACCCCTCATACAATTCAATTTTTATTTAAATCCCCAATTACGACAAGCATAAATTTCGTTCGTATATGTTAATAGCGTTCGACTTCAACGGATTTATGTTGTAGTTTGACAATAGTTCCAAATGGCAATAAATTATACGGATGTGCCTCCATTATCCATACAAAAATGGATGCCAAGTTCATTCACTACATCTTGTTTAAAATAATGTCTCCCATGCATTATATAACATGACAAACCTATAATCTTGTTCAACTAATGCTCCCTAATACTACCAACTGGTATGGTCCCTTTTGGTTCCAACTACAGGTTTGAAATTTACCTTAAAAAAACAATATTTGTGATTCAACTATCAGCTTGCCCTGTGCCACTAACATCAACAGCTCTAACCATAGCAAAGTAGGATTTGGGATTCAAACTCATCAACAGCTCCAATACCAACACGCTACTTGGACGGCCGATTTTGAGACCGGGTTCAAAGAAACCTGTTAGATAGCATTAGTACTTTAAGTTAATTAACATGGTCATAAGAGTGAAAAATAATTATAAACTGATTAGTAATGTGCAAGAACACACAATATATACCAGGGGAAAGAGTTTTTCCACCATGCAACACTTTGGCTAACGGGTTTGATGCCCAATTGTTGACTGCGACTCGATTAGTAGGTTGAAATCCTAAGATATCCCCCTCACTTGACACCACCACCTACTCATTTGAGTCCCACAGAAATCTGATGTTAGAAACCAGAACAGTTTGTTCAAACAAAGCATACATTCCAAAGATGTGTTATCGCCAAATTATGCAAAGTTCGCAAAAAAAGTAATCAGATTTTCTACTTACAATAAATAATCCACTCAAACATTTTTTTTCCCTTCACAAGTTCATGGAGATAACAACTTTAAAACAAAATAAATTACAACAATACCTGATAACTACCGATGTCTTCTAATGCTTGCTTTTCCACCTCATTTTCTGCTAATGGTACTAAAATGGATGAAATGTCAAGCTTAGTGGTGGAATCCCTGTCATCCATTCCCCTCATGAATTTAGGCAGTTCCCCAATCCATGCACATGGACCAGATTTTATCCTTATCTCATCAGGCCAACCGAAAGAATCCTTGATTTTTCTGATTATCGAGACACAGCACGTCTCCAACTGAGAGTTAACCAAATGTCAGATATTGTCAACAAAAGGTAGCAAGTCTAACTAGTGATATACAAAGCCCCACAAATTGAAAACAACTTATATATGAATGTCGACTTTTCACCTTGACAACTAGAAATGAAGTTTATTATTATATCCCAAGCACAAAAGTTATATTCAATACTAAATACATTAGATACAAGTACAAACAATTCATCAAAGTGGAAGATGCCAAAATAAAGAATCTCACACATGTTAACAAATAATATCCTTGCATAATGCATAAAATAACAAGCATTCTAAATAATACAAAAACGATTGAATCAAATAAAACAAGAACACATTAGCAAACAAGACAGCATGTTATTTGAAAGAACCGATGTTTTCAAGAATATTTCATAGATCTCCAATGTGACTTAGACTATGATCCCCCAAAAGCTACATACAACTGATCATGCCAAAAACCCGAACAAATGGAAATTACAGAATAATAATACCATTGCATTGCCTCTTACCACAGAATATATACAAATAAGCTCAATGCTTACATACCTCAGGAATTTCCAGAGACTGGTCAGGCACGAGGATGACATCAGAGAGTGAAGCTTGAGATTTTTGTTGAATAAAGTTAATCGGTAAATGCGGCACAAAAAGCTTTCCCAGAACACTAAATGTCACCAAAAGAATCCCACTCACGAAGACACATGACAACGTCTTCAAAAAAGAATTGCTCTGTAACGGGAATGGCATTTGTTACAAGTTACAATACAAACAAAATATTGTAAAATGAGACAATAACCCCGTTAAGGCACATCATGCATCTACATTATTTCACAAACAGTATTTGATTCTTGGAACATCCGAAATTGATGTTATATTCATGGTTTCAATATAATATACCTTTGTGTAATCCAAGTCCGATGGTTTTACAGCTGCGTAACAAGGCAATCTCTTGTTGGGCAATGTGAAAATGTCCTCATAGTACATATCCAATACATCAGCCAAATCAACCTACAGATGACTCCAAAACATAATATTCGTATTATGTACAATGAAATTAATATCTAGAGAAAATTAACCTTCATAATATATTCAGAGATTAATTACCATTTGGGAATGAGTAAGAACAACTTGCCATCTATTACCATCTGTTTTTTTCCACCCTCCAAATTCCACATCACTGTACTTGTCCGAGGCAATTTCCAAAATGTAAGCTGGCAAAACCTCACTTGCCCAAGTGAGAAATTCATGACCACCAATCTTCTCCAACTTTGAGAAAGCTGTAGGCATCCACCAACGGCTCTTCAATTTTGGCACCTTCAGCTTATGTTTTCCCCTTTCCGAGTTGAACTTCTCCACCAGAAATTTGGCATTTGCGAGTATCTCATGTTCGAGAAAGTTGTACAGGACAATGGAATGATCTCTGGATGAAATCTGTTTCCTCTTGTCAAGCCAACTGAAAAGGCCACCAAATACTCTATTTGTGGAAACATGAAGAGTATGACTTTTAGTATCTCTAAAGGCAGCAGCACAAATAACCTCTCCAATTGCACCAAGGAGCTGTTCATCCATGGAGCTGAGGGTTAAAGCAACAGATACCTGAGAGGAAATTTAATAAGATAACTCGTCACCTGCAGAACGAAAGAAATTACAGTATGATTTACGAGAGGGAAAAAGGTGGCCACAAACAATGCAACAAGAAGACATAAATAACCCTTTACGTAGTTATCTAACCTCTCTTGGATTTCCGAGATCATTCATATTTCGCTCTGTTGCAGGACTAAATACTTGCAGTTCAACACTCTGAAGGTGGTGCACGACTACTTGTCTAAAGGTCATTGCAAGTATATTGTCCTGTGTGGTCCCACTAAACATCTCCTTCCTACGCAATCTCTTCTTCAGCTCTATAGATCTCTCTTTAACTTTTTTCGCAGGCAAAACCTGACAAAATAAGAAACTTTAACTTATGCCCTAGCACACAGCCAAAATTATAGACGTCGGCTTTGAAATGATAAAAATCCCATTTTAACTATGAATATCACACACACACACACACACACACACACACACATTATCTTCAATAACACTGGATGAGCCAAATTGAACCAGCAAACAAAATCAGTAGTTTAATCGGGAGCTGGAGCAGACAATTGGATGATCCAAAGAGACAAAATGGAACAAGGAAAATTAAATACAAAATCTTAAACAATAAAACCTGCACGACCAGTTACATGCTAGAGCCTGGAAGGATAATCTAGATACATAAAATGGAACTCCAAAGTACTTACTAATCTTGTGGCAATGGTGCTGTGGTCACCAGAGGCGCCGGGAAATAAGGTTTCCACAACCATGGTAGCCATGCCGGAGGACAAATGCTCATCGGCAGCAGCCCCTCCGTCTGCCGCGGCCGCCGTAAGGGCTTGTCGGTAGTTGACGGCACCGAGGAGGGTGAGCCGGGCCAGATCGTTTTCGTAAGTTCTGATGGCTGGGAAGGAGTCTCCGGCAGCATCGAAACCTGCTGCAGATTCTAGAAGCTCTTTCTCGGTGGCGAACGGCGGAGGCGGTTGGTTGTGAGAGGAGGCGGCGGCGGCGGCGGCGGCGGCCAAGGGAAGAGAATGGGGATTCTTCTGAGAACAGAGGGGTAGTTTGGGAAACGTTGTCGCATGTGATTTAAACGAAGTGGTGGGTGGAGATAGTGGGGCAAAGACAAGGCGAGCAGTGGCGAACGCCATTAACGACGGAAGATGAAGGTCAGTAATGGCAGATAAGGGTTCGTGAGGTTTTACTAATTTTCAGGCACGAGTGACACTGTTTTCTTTTTTAATTTGTGATTTTATTTTTCTCCTTTTTTTTTTCCAACAAATCTAACCAAAAACAATTGTCTTCCTTGTGTACGGAATGCTACGGTTCAATTACGAAAGTATTCTGTCATGATTTGTAACTATTAGATCAATTATATCTGATAATTATATAATAATTTAACGATTACAAATCTCGACGAAATAGTTCTCTAATAGGACCGTAGCACTTCCCTTACTTTTTTATGTCAATATTGTGAATTTGTGGCATACATTATTATTTTAAAAATATTAAAAGTCAGGAAGTGTTGATTTTTAAATTTAATTATGTATTTATTTTTCAATTTTAGCTACATTCATTTCACTTATCACGATCGGTAACAAATCTGATTCAATTCAGTCAATAATCTTTTTGCCATTCTAAATTTATCATAATTAAATAATATCAATCAATTATCGTCACACGTTAACTTTAATTCATTGTCAATCTATTCAAATATTTTTGAAAAAACATCACTTCCAATCACCTCTACTTTTACACCTCTTACATTACATTAACTTTATTCATTATATCTTAAATATTACTAGTATTTGATATTGTGCATTTGCACAGATATAAAACACATTTTTATTTGTATCTATTAATTAGACATGTACTTCTATCATATAAAAATTACTACTTTTTCTTAAGTTATTTTATCATTCAATATTTATTGAGATAAAAATTTTATTGTAACCATGCAACGCTTACATTAGTAACATGAAATAATATATATATTTGGGGCATATATTAAGAAAATTAACATAAATAAAAAAAATTATTGGTGTTTCTGATTTTTAGAAGAAAAAAAAATGTGTCAATCATATTTTTCTTCCAACAATGCAACCAAATATAGCGGTTACAATGTGTCAATCAACTTTAAGTTCCAACATTAGCCGTTACACATTTGAATATTTTGCTCTCAAATTTAGAATTAATTTAGTAACTGATCCAAAAAATAAATAATAAATATATATATATATTAAGATGTAACAGTTTTAACAGATTAGTGAGTAATTAATTAACAAAAATATAATTCCTTTTGGAGAGAAATGAAAATAAGTTTTATTAAATGTTTTATTAAATGCATCACATATAGTAATTACATATATATATATTTTAAACAAAAATCTAAAATATACACTCAATCAACTTTATTATTTAAATTTAACTCACTTTATTCATCAAATCATTTTCAATCCAAAATATTTTATTTCCAATCACATTCAATGAAAATGAGAAAACACATGTATTTTGAATCAAACAAGGCATCTCTACACAGCTCCAACATCGACAAACAGGGAGCTTCCACGTGTTTTTATACTCTCGATCTCACACACCCGCATGGGTGTGTGTTTGTGTGTAAATCAAGGGTAAAAAATCTCACAAAAAGTGCATAGCAAATGCAGTAGAAAGCCACACCAAAAGTAGTAAAAATATGCATTCTTACATAACGGTCAGACGAGTAAATACATATCATTGACATTGTTAGGGCCAAAATATTTTCCCTACAAGCTGTGCACCAGGAGTGCATTTCATTATAGAAACAAAGGTTAAGTAATTAACCGAACCAAGTCAGCACAACCCAATTCCGGCATTTTGCCACCGTCTTTTGCAGTTAAACACGGTCCGATACCATAAATGATGAGTAAGCTATGCACTATAAATACTCATTTTCCGACATCCCCCGATCCTCCACCAAGACAGGAAGCAATGCTTCAAAAGACAGAGAAAAGAAGGGCAAAAAAGAAGGATAAAAAAAAAAAAGAAGAAAAAACTTCACCACTTGCATGGAGGCCGAGTGAAACGAAATCATATATATATCACAAGGACAAAAATGTCCCTATTATTCCAGATTCACACCGAGCCACCCAATCATGTTAAGTAGTATCCACCTATGTTGTCCACAAGAAAATCATACGGGGCACCTCTCACATAATCAAACCCTTCACCGCCACTCGCTAATGCATTAGAAGCAGAATGAATATTTCCATTTAGATTATTACCATTCCCATTTCCATCCTTCAAATTATTTTTCCCCCTTCCTTTCACATTACGCTGCTGCTTGTTGTCATTAGGGAACTCGGCTGTCAGCCTATTCATTTGCTTCTGAAGATCAGCAACAGAATTGTCATTTCCTAATTTACCCTTGGGAGACTTTTTCCCATCAGCACGCTTCACCTCCAGCCTGTACAAAGCACACGCGTCGTATTTATTGATTTCGTATTCGTAGAGGTGCCACTCGAAAGTCTCCATTGGCTGAGGATCCATGTAGTAGGATCTCTTTAGCCCCCCAAATTCGTTCATCACTTGTTTTCTCGATTCATGCCAGCCCCTCCCGTTGTAATCCGGAAGGGACCTCTGTTTTCTGTTGCCGCTCTCGAATGCTCGGCGGGGCTTGTCGAAAAACAGCCATTCCCTTATTGTCTCACCATCCAACATGGTGAGATCAAAGAGCTCTGTTCGACACCAAAGAAAGCCAATCAATCTTACTATATATGAATAAAGTAACAGATAAATATATCCAATGCCCTTGAGGTTAAGCCAAATTAAAAATTAAAAAAAAAAAAAGAAGTTGCAATTAAATCACAAACCACAGTACTCCCTTCCACATTTTTTTATTTTTTTTCTCTTTTACTGGTTTAGAAACTGCAGAGAGAGAACCATGGTCCTTGATTGGATATACTTCCACTTTCAGAGATAGAGGGGAGGAGAGCCCTTCCACTTAAACATTGTGATGAATAAAATTTTGAGGGAACTATGAATATTTGAGAAAGTGAGGGGATATAAATAGAAAATGTAATGATTGAAGTTAATGTGATATAAAAAAACAGCAAAAAATGATAACTAGTATTTATAAATCTGTGTGTGGGTGAGTAGTAAGTTCTGTAGGGAAAAGTGCAATTATCATTCTTTAAATGCTTTAGTGCAAATGTTAGAATGAGCGCATAGCTGAAACTTATGGTGACAATGAGAACTTTTAGATCCCAAAGGTTGCCTCAGGTGGTGCTCGAAACATTTCAAGGGGGTAGTTCTAATTCTAAAAGATGAATGACCTTTCTTTAACTAAAGTAAACCTCGGTATTTTGTAAATTATGTGGTACTAAATACACACAAGCTGAAAAGGCGAGGTCATGAACAAAAGACAATTAAGAAACAGAACCCACTAACCAAGTGCATTCCATGGGGATTTTGCAGTGGCAGCACCCTCACATTCAGGTATACCAACTTCCTTTCCAAGGGCCTTTGCTCCAAGTGCAGCAAAAAGTAAATTATCCTTTAAGCCGATGCCACCTGGCCGTACAACCGGAGGCCTGCCGAGATAGCCTTCAGTGGGTGCAAGGCATGCATGATGACCACTGCAATAGTCATCCGACTTTTGACACCAGTCAGAACACAGAGCGGGCCTAGGACAGTCCCAGAGGGCACATTTTGGGCCTAAAAATGCTGAAGGTGGAGGACAAATGTTCTGCTGAAAGCCCGGATTCTGAGTTACACCTTCGTCCCCAACAAAACCCGTGCCGTCAAACCCAATGAGGAACTGCGGGTCAAAATCCTGATGGAAATCAAACGAATGGTAATCCAATTGTGTTGGCATGCTCATGTTGTTCATGCCGATATTGTTGGCTTCAATGCCAGCATTCTTGCAGTGATCGGCTAATGGGAAGCCCTGTTCTTGAGAACCCTTGGTCATCATAAAATCCTGCAGCAAATAAAATGATGCAACCGCCAGTAAGAAACGTTTCAGAGTGAACACACACACACACACATATAAATATAATTTTCTATTGTTACAGAGTAACAGTTAATAGAAAGAAAAACAATAAATACTATATATGGAAATGAGAAATACCTAAAGTTAGAAACAATACAAATTACAAAAACAACTAAATTTAAACACATAAATTATTACAAATTACAATCAACTGATGAAGGATTAAAGACATGAGATTGGACAGGTCTGCCGTGCCTAAATTGAAATTTGTTAACATTTGATACTTAAATCAGAAGATAGGATATGGTGTGAATTATTTACAGGTCAGGACCAGGTTCGAAAAATGAATCATTTAAGAAAATGGCCTCTGGCAAATATTCACAGAACCGGACAAAGGCAAGAAAAATCTTAAAAAATAAAAAATGAAAGAATCCATGAACATAGAGCTGGAGCAACATAATGAGGAAGTACAAGAAATATCACATGTTCAACATATTCATGAGCTATATAGAAATGGAAAAAAAAAAAAGAAAAACAAAATAAATCATAAGCGATGACAAGATCGAAAAATGATTTTGTTTTCTGTTTCTGCATAAATGAAGTCATGATCCATATATAAAATCACTTTACTAGCAATGCGACGACGAACAGGTCAAGTATCAAGTTCCTCAGAATATCAAACTTTACTTTATCATTGGACCATTTACCTATCTAATGTGCAGGGAGGAGATGTCAAAAACTTAATAGCAACCACTAAAATGCCCCATTTGCAGAAACTAAATGGGAAAAAAAGTAAAAAAACAGAATGATTTGCAAAAGTAATTTACTTGTTAGCCAGAACCAACAGTCTTAAGTTGAGGATGGAAATATGGAAGAAGATTTAGAGTGACATGTCTAGATGTCAAACGTAGAATTCTGATAACTGAAGCTTCAAATAATGTGAGTGTGTGTATGTGTGTCTATATATATATATGGATTTTGATATCCTCTCATGTCTTTATAAACTCTCTTTTCAATATTTATCTAAATTCCACAGCTGTCTGATACTCTAAACACTAGTAATTAGGTTGACAAAGCCAAAGCCAAAGCCAAAGCCAAAGCCAACTCCATATATTTAAGGTAACTAACCTCTTGAGAGGTAGATCCATTCACCACCTTTTGGGCATCAGGATCTGGCTTTGGAGCAGCAAAAGAACTGGTTGCATCATCTTCCTCATCACAAAGCTGCAGCAGCCGATAAATCTCGGATGAAAAGCCCAGACTCCCTCCCTACACAAAGAGAGTTCATTCAATTTAAAACTCACATTGCCCAGTCATTTCACAAGTTATGCATATTTATACAAATAAACTGCCAATAACATTCCATCAAGATTGGTCCACACAAATTTATCAAACATGGGTGAGGATAAAGCAAAAGCCAATAACTACTCTCAACAACTCCCACACCGTAACTCTTTCAGGCAGGGAGCAACTTGAATTATTCTGGACAAAAAAACACAATATCTCACAAACATACATCAAGATCAAAATGGGGATATGGTGATATGCAACAATAGAGCAATCAACCATTAAAACCATAACGACACGGTCTCATTATCCACATCCTAACAACAACCAAAGAGCAACTTTCACAATGAACCATCACGGGCAATACAAATCTGATCATTTGTTTGTGAAGAATGAATTACCTGCTGCAAGGAGGAAGCTGGGGAGGGCTCATTGAGCTCAGCCTTCCACTCACGAAGCATCTGGTGAACTTGCTCTTCAAGCACGGCCACATCGATCGTGCGGCTCTCCTTCCTGGCCGATTGAAGATCGCTGAACATACCTTGAAGATCATCCACACGATTCTTTGCTCTGTCCTTAAAGATCTGGTGCGACGCGGACTTGCATGCCCCACTCTTCGAATCCTTCCCCATCCGCAGAAATTGGCGTGATCTTTCAAGAAAGCTGCCAAAAATCAGAGCAAACAGTATAAAGACCCAGTATACAGAAAGTTGCAAAATTGAAACCCAAGAAGTAAAACTAAAGAAAGGATGCAAAAACATACGCTGCTACAGTTCTACCCTTTTCTTCTCTGTCAAAATAAAAACAAAAGAGAATTTCCCTAACACGCTGAAAAATTTCACAACCAAAGGTTCACAAAAAAAATCATATTATTCTAGAGCTCATCGAAATTATGACATTGATTCACCAAATTACATAAGGAACACCAAAAAGTAACAGAAAGGGGTGAAAATTGTGGACACAAAAATCGAAAAGCCCAAAAATTGTCGCTAAATTTTTTGAACACTGATCATCCTAATCGGTGAGCAATTACAAACTATGATAAAAACGAACAGTAATCAAGAAGAGCAGGGCGGCGTTACCTGTTCGAAGAGGCGAGAGAGACGACGACGACTGGGGTTTGCTGTGCAGAGGGTAAAGTAAAGAGTGGTTTTTTTTTTTTTTTTTCCTCTCTTTTTATTTTTTTTTTTTCTTCTTTATTCCTCCGAATTTTTATTACTGAATTTTTTTTAAAGGAAAAAATTACATATATAAAAGAAAACTTGATTCTCTGCGCAATTGGTGAAGAAAGTGAGTGGAGTAATGGTGCTTTATTATTATTATTATTATTATTATTATTATTATTATTATATTATTATTATTATTATTATTATTCCCTTTTTTCTTTATGTCACATGTGTTATAAATATGGAGATAAAGAATTGAATATAAAAACATGATGATATAAATAAATATAATTATTTTAGATTAAATTCTATGGAGCCATCGGATGGCTCTCTGTCATCCATTACTTTATGTACTGATACATGTCTAATGTGTATTTATTGCAGGACACGTGTCAATACACAATTTCTGAATAACTATGGATGACTCCATAAAGCGAGTCATTTGATAGTTACATAGCAAAACCGACTGATTTTATTATCTAAGGAATTGAATATAAAAGCATGACATAGATTATACTGATTTTTATTATCTTTTCAGTATGTATTCTTCTTTGCATTAGCTGCCTTTTATAAGTAAGCATTGCCGACACAAACTTCGGTCTCATACACAAATTTTTAACTAGGTATTGAATCAAATCTACAATTGTTTGTCAAATATATTGAAGCTCACACCAGTAACATGATGAGATTTTGACAAATCTCATTGGATTTTTAAATGTTTTCCGTGTCAAAACTCACTTTCTTAATAATAAGTCATGATTATTTTTCGATATAACATATCGAAAAATCAATTGACTATTAATTTTGATAATTTTTTTAAACTAATGCCTTAAGTTATTTCTATTTTGGCAAAACTCCGTCACACTTCAAGGTATCGGTACGAAAACTATTGCTCTTTTTATAATTCAAACGGAATGTATTTTTTATGTTAGTGTGGTACTTCTATTCGTAATTTGACTGAAAGAATTGCTTCCGCCTACAATTTTGGTATAAGCCCTAGCGACAAAATCACTTCTCTGGCGGCCTCCTCTTCAGCCAGGGGGTCTGATCCGCCTTGGGGCTTTTGAGCAACAGGGAAACGCCTCTGTCTCTGTCTTGTCTCGGGCCCTTTTCGTTGCAGGTCTTCTTCCTTTCAAACTCGGATGTCTGCCGATGGATTTCTTCGACGATTTGGTGGCGTGGTGGAGTTGTCGGCATCGTCTACCGCGGTTGGTGGGCGAGGCTTGAACCTTCGCTCCTCTCTCTTTAGTTCCCCGTCTGGTGTCCCTGAGGTTGGGTGTCGGTGGGGCCTCGTCTTTTTGGAGCCTCAGGGGCTGCGGCAAAGTGGGTTTGGGAGAGACGGAGGTGCGGGCCTCTTGTGTGTTCCTCCGGTAATGACCTATTTGGGAGGGATCAGACGTGGTGGATGTCGTTGGCCAGCTCTGCCTTGGAGAAGGGAGTTTCGTTGTCTGCTTTTTAGGTGTGGTCTTGCTCTCTTGGGTTCGTTATCGGGTGTTCGTCCCGAGTCGGTGTTTAGGATCCTCTTGCGGCTGTTGAGGAGGGCATTATTGTAGCTTTTTTTTGTGTGTTTTGGTGTGTGGTAGTATGTGTGTGCTTGTCTTTGCTTTTGTCTATTTGTGTTTGTGTTTTACTCTCTTTGGGAGCGTATATTCTCCACTTGTAGGAGCTTTGTTTTTTCCCTATGATTTTTTTTTATTATTATTTTCTGTTTTGTTGTTTGTAGTGTGTGTTGTAGTTTCAAGACTACTTTGGTAGTCCTCATATTCTGACTAGTTAGCTGTTTATAACTATATTTTTAGTTAATGAATATGTGGTAAAAAAAAAAAA